CAGGAGGAGGAGGAGGAGGAGGAGGAAGAAGAGGAGCAGGAGGAGGAGGAACAGCAGGCGCCGAGATGCTCCAACCTGCGGAGATGCTCCGAGGCGCCGAGATGCTCAGCGCCGGGAACCCATAACAAGGGATGCGTCGACCCCTATCCCAGGCTCCGTGAGGTTTTCGAGGGGATCAACAATTGGGGGCCCCACCCTGGGATGTACGATGGGGGGGGGCGTCCATCCTCGACAGGGGTGCGTCCGAATAGCCCCCTCGGGATGTATCCCAAGATTCCTCCCCTTTTCTGAGCGACCAAACTTTTCTGGCGGAAGTCGGGGATTGGGGGAGAGAAATCGCCTGCGAACCCAGAGATCCAACGTAATGCAACAATCACCACGGAGTTTTTTCGCAGAGTTCGGCATCTAGGGGCCCTTGCCGGGTGGCCTGGGGGAATGGGGAACGAACAAAGACATAAACGTTATAACTCGGAGGTCCGCGCGGATCTCTCGGATCGGCGCTGGAGCCCCCTGGCGGCGCCTCCGGCGCCGCCCCTGCCGCGCTCCGCGCGCCAGGGAGGGGGGTCCAGCGCCGATCCGAGAAATCCGCGCGGATTTCCGAGTTGTTGTGTTTATGTCATTGTTCGTTCCACAGACAAGAAAAGAGAGCAGAAAATCCACCCTCAGAAAAAATCAGCCCGACACGCGAAGCCGTTCAGTAAACGCACCCATGAAAGGAATCGAGCAGGGCAGGGCTGTTTGGTAAACGCCCAGGGCCCTTCAGCAAACGCCAATCATCGGGTCCGCGTGTTGTTCCTCCCTCTGGGCGGCGAGCGAGGGGGGGAAATGAGAAGGAGAAGGCCTTCTCAGAAGACAGCGGGACTTCTCAGAAGCCCTCGCGCCTCCTGAGAAGTTCTTCTGTTTTCAGGGCAAGCTTGGAAAACTTCTCAGTAGGCCGGGGGACTTCCGAGCCTTCTGAAAAGGCCCGCCCCTTCTCACTTCCCCCCTCGCTCGCCGCCGATCCTCAGGGGGATATAACAGAAGGCATAAGCATCAACTTGTGACGGTCCGCGTGGATTTCTTGGCCCTGAGCTGGACCCCCCTCCCTGGCGCGCGGAGGGCGCCAGGGGCGGTGCCGGAGGCGCCGCCACGGCGCTCCAGCGGAGATCCAAGAAATCCGCGCGAAGCGCCAAAACTTTATGTTTAGGCCGTGGTTTCTTCTTCGATTCCTGTCGGCGAGAGGGTCCCAGACCCCCTCGCATCGCGTGCAACAAAAACACACGACGGGCGGTTTTTGGCGATCTCACGCGTCTGGGGGCCCTCGCCGGGCCTCGCGGAGCCGTCAACAAAAACGACTCGGGATGAAGAACCGGCCCTGGGGAATGGGTCGGGACCCCGTCATGAAACAATCATGACGTCGGGGGTCTGGGGATGCGGGGCGGATTGGGAGGAGGGAGGCAAAGCAGTGGGAGGGCATAACGGCGGAAGAGGGAGGATACTGGAGGCTGGGGGTGGGGTGGGTGGGGGGCAGGAGGAGTAGCGAGGACGTGGCAAAGATCCTGGTTGGGCCGATGACTCTCTGCAGTGCACCGCTAGCGTTAGGTCAGGCATGTCCCCCTACAGGCGGATTTTGGGTGAAAAAATAAAAATATGCCAGAAATGCCCCCCAAATATTCAAAACATACCAAACAAATCGTCCCCAGTCGATTTTCTACTGTTTTTGAATATCCTCCTGTACAAGGACATGCCTGACTTGACGCTAGCGTCCCCAGGCTCCAGGAAGGCATTTACAACCCGCTGCAAGACTTCCAGTAGCGCATCTGGCTGAGCCGATGGCGGGACAAAAGGGCGAGGAGGAGGAGGAGGAGGAGGAGGAGGAGGAGGAGGAGGAGGAGAGAAGGGAGGAGGAGGAGAGAAGGGAGGAGGATGAGGAGGAGGAGGAGGAGGGGAGAGGAGAGGAAGGGAGGAGGAGGAGGATAGGAGGAGGAGGAGGAGGAGGAGGAGCAGGAGGAGGCGTACGAGGAGGGAGGATGGGAGGAGGAGGGGGGAGGAGGAGGCGAGGGAGACGATCGGTGGTCTGGCGCCACACGCTCGCCAAAGCGTGGGCCCAACACGTGCCGAACCAACACGCAGCGTGTGCACACGCACGCTTCGATCGGGGAGACGTAAGACCCGGGTACGGGGGACTCGGAAATCCCCGACGAGGTCGTCAAAAAAATGACGAGGCCGAGCCCGCATTTTGACGAGGTCTCCCGCTGCAGACATCCCACAAAACTCCTCCTCGTCAAAATCCGAGTCGCGGTCGTCAAAAAACGATGGCGAACCCGAGTCCCGGCAAACCCGGGTCTTACGCTCCCCCGATTCGAACACGGCACGCGCTGCGTTTCAACACGGGCACGTCAGGGCAACGAACAACGGGACGCACAAAGTAGGCGACGAGCCCAGGGGGGAAATGAGAAGGAGAGGGCCTTCTCAGAAGGCCGCGGGACTTCTTAGAAGTCCGGGGGGCTTCTGAGACGTTTCCTTGGCCTATTTCGAATACAGACAGAACTTCTCAGAAGCCCTCTCAGAAGTCCAGAAACTTCTCAGAAGCCTCGGAAGTCCCGCCCCTTCTCATTTCCCCCCCGCGCCCGCCGCCGACAAAGACATACAAGTACTATACGTTCTCCTTGGAGGCGCGCGTCCGACCCGAACGTATAGTAGACCCATCTTGTAGTAGAGATCCTTTCCCGAGCGGTGTGGCCAGGAAGCGCCCGCCGCGACACCTATGCTATAAGATTTCTCGGTGCGCGCGTCGCCCCCGAGGGGGCGACGCACATGTAGTATAGGTATGTTGGGGTGACGCCGAAACAAGTGGGGGGGGAAGGACACCGCGCGCAAAATCAGGATCACAGGGGCACCGCAGGGGAAGCGGGCACGTCCCGGGCCTCGGCCATCGGCAGGGCGAGCCCGAGAGAGGCGCTTGCAAAGGGCAGGGCCGGGTGTGCAGAGGCCTCCCAGCCGGGGCCCGGGCAGATGGGGTCGGAGGATCGCGCCGCATCGCCGAGGCATCGGCGATGCGGCAGATGCGACGAGGACCCGGTACCCCAGGATGGCTCGGGAGTTCCAGACGCAAGGTCGAAGGTCTTGGGATGACGGCGATTGGCATGTGGGCCTGCATCGGTCTGGAGTTGTACCACTGATCGTCGATCATGCATCCCCGTGCAGACTTGCGCCTGCCGCTGTGACAGAAGACTGACAGGACCGTTCCCCCAACTACCCCCGCTCGGCTGCCTCGATCACGTAAAGAGTGGAATGGCGACCAATAGTGGCCGTCCGTCTGCGATCCAGACGCGGACGAGCCCGTCAACCTGCCTCGCTGACTACCCTGTGTTGTGTTGTGCTCGAGGCCCCGCGTGGTCAGGATATTCGACGAATGGTAATGCACGATCTGGCGTAGACGGCGCACCACCACAAGCACACGTGCTGCTTTCAACCTCCGAAGTGGCCCTGAGGGTCTCAGCGTTGGGGGCAGCGGAATCTTGGCCTGGGTGGCCGTCGCGCGGCCTGCCAGTGCGGCACGCCCTGCTGCTGGCAAATCCCCGAAGTGGCCTCAGGCGCATCGCCCTCCTCCCATCGCCGGATACAGTGGGGGCATGGGGTGAGGAGACCTTAGATAAGGAATCCAGGGTCTGGAAGCCAGTGGAACTCCACTCTAGGCTTGGCCATGGACATTACCGCCGCCCTCACTGGATAAGGAATCCTCCAGGGTCTGGCGCCTCCTGGGACTATTCCTTACCAAACGCCTCCACCGTATAGGATCGGCAGCATCCTAATGACTGAGGTGCGCAGTTGGGCTACTGAACAGCGAGGCCGCACTTCGCGTCGGGCGCGGACAGACCCACCATCGACTTGGCGGCACGCTTCGTGGTCCTCGCCGAGGCTGCGGCTAGCGCGGCATGAGAGACAGCGGCCTTTGCACAGCCAGTGCAATGAAGTGCGCCGACGGGCCGCGTGCTTAGCTGCCCCGATACGCAACACGCAACACGCAGCGTATTGATACGGAACGCAACACGTAGACTGAAAACGTAGGTCCGACGCGATGCGTTCGCCCAAACGTGGGCCAACACGTGGAGCCGACACGGAACGTGTTGACACGGACGTTTCGAGCACGGCACGTGTTGCGCTTCAAAACGGGCGTATCGAGACAGCTAAGGCCGCATGGCGAACTATCCAATCGCTGCGGAGGCGTTCAGCTTCCCGCTCGCCCCCATCAAGAGGGGAGGAGGAGGAGGAGGAGGAGGAGGAGGAGGAGGAGGAGGAGGAGGAGGAGGACCTGCCACAGCTCGTGCCGCGATGCTTGTCCTTACTGCTCCGCCGCACGCGGGCCCACCGGGCGGCCACAGCCGAAGAGGCGCTGGACTCGTGCGCGGGCCCTCTCAGGGGGCGAGCCGTTCTCGCTTGCCCTTGAACTCCTCCTCCTCCTCCTCCTCCTCCTCCTCCTCCTCCTCCTCCTCCTCCTCATCCTCCTCCTCCTCCTCCTCCTCCTCCTCCTCCTCCTCCTCCTCCTCCCCCTCCCCCTCCCCCTCCCCCCCCTCCTCCTCCTCCTCCTCCTCCGACGGAGCCGAGAAGACTTGGCGGCTGGGCGAGCGGCACAGGAGACGATGCACGCCAAAGGAGGGCACGAGCTGCACCGAGCGCGGACGCCATCGCGTCGGGCGTCGGGTGGGCAGCTTGCTGCCTTGTGTTGTAGGTGTAGGACGAGAGTGGAACGCTGGAGTATACGAGACAGGGGGAGCGAGCGCCCAGGACGTGAGCGTGCTTCGCAGGGGAGGCGAGTCACGGGACCCGAGGAGGCTCGCGAGGACGGAGCAGGAGAGGTGGTGGGGAACGAATCTGGTGCGTCAGCGCACCCGAAAACAAACTTGCGCTGCACAAGGTCATGCGTGCGGTGGGAAGTCGTTTACCCGTCACTGAGTGTCTTGTAAGTGGCCCACTTTCAGCTCGGGCGCACATCATGTAGCAACTTAGTGAGAGCTAGCCAGCGGGTGTAGAGCTCAACGAGTGGCGGTGGCGAAGAGATGACTAAAGCTACGAGGCGCTTCTGCAAACTGGCCCTGAAAGGGCGAGTTTCATGCTGAGCGACGCAATGCAGCAGCGACCTCCCTCTGTCTCTTACAGTAGGTTTCCTGGGTGGGTCTGCCGCACGAGCGTCCTGAAACTCCTTTTTAGCAGCGCCGATCGCTGCCGCAACGCTGTGTGCGGGGAGAGGGCGTGCGGCGAAGCAAGCCTTGAGAGAGGGCGTGGTAGTGCGGAACCACGGCGCGCGGCTCGTCCCAGAATGGAGCGGACCACGAGGCGACTATCCACCGATGGTTACCAGTCCCCTCTGGGGGTATGGAGGCCGGAGCGAATCGCAGCGCCGGTAGCGGTGGCTTGGGTAGATCGCGGGACAGGTGACGAGCTCCACGCGGCCAGTACGGTTGGGCGACATAACTGCTATGTTATGCCCGCGAGCCGTGGCATCGCTGCCACTCTGTAACAGGTTCACAAGATTGCCCAGAGGAGAAGGAGGGGGAGGAGGAGGAGGAGGAGGAGGAGGAGGAGGAGAAGGAGGAGGAGGAGGAGGGAAAGGAGAAGGAGGAGGACGAGGAGGAGCCAAGAAAAGGGGAGAAGGGAGGCGGAGGAGGGGGCTGTGCCGGAAGGTGCGCGGTGGCAGCAGCGGAGCCCTGCGCGAGGGCAGGGGAAGGCGGAGGATGTTCCCCCCAACCCACCTCGAGATCGGCTCGCCACGTGAGGGAAGGACAAAGGGAGGAGGAGGTCGGAACGTCATGGAAGGGAGGAGGAGAAGGAGGAGGAGGAGGAGGAGGGGGAGGGGGAAGGAAGGGAAGGGGAAGGGGAAGGGAAGGAGGAGGCAGGGAGGCAGGAGGAGGAGGAGAGGAGGAGGAGGAGGAGGGAGGGGGAGGGGAGGAGGAGGAGGAGGAGGAGGAGGGAGGAGGAGGAGGAGGAGGAGGAGGAGGAGGAGGGAGGAGGAGGGGAGTGAGGAAAAAGGGAGGAAAACGAAGGAGGAGGATTCGAAACGATTACAAAGACAATAAAAGGAGGGGAGGAGAAACAGGGAGAGGGGAGGAGGAGGAGGAGAGGAGGAGGAGGAGGGAGGGAAAAAAGGAGGAGGAGGGAGGAGGGAGGAGGAGGAGGAGGAGGGAAAAGGGGAGGAGGAGGAGGAGGAGGAGGAGGGGAACAGGGAGGGGAGGAGGAGGAGGGAGGAGAGGAGGCGGAGGAGGAGGAGGAGGGGGAAGGAGGGGGAAGGGGAGGGAGGGGGCAGGGGAAGGAGGAAGGACGAGAGGAGGGGGACAAGGGGGAGAGAAAGGAGCAGGGGAGGGGGGAATGGAAGGGGGATGGGGAGGAGGAAGAGCTGGGATGAGTGGGCAGGAGCAGAAGGAGGGGGAGGATTGGGCGGGAAGGCTCGTCGCGCAAGCCGGCGTCGGCGAGGACGCCCCCGGTGGCGTCCTGCGGACGATGACCGTTCCGTCGACGGTGTCCCCCGCCTTCAGGTCCGCCAGCGGCCTCGCGGCCACGGCCTCCGCCTCGCGAGGGCGAACAGGAGGGGCATCGGGAGGGGGAGGGGTCAGACTCCAGCGTCCTTCTCCTCCTCGTCCTCGTCCTCGTCCTCGTCCTCCTCCTCCTCGTCCTCGTCCTCGTCCTCGTCCTCGTCCTCGTCCTCGTCCTCCTCCTCGTCCTCGTCCTCGTCCTCGTCCTCCTCCTCCTCCTCCTCGGTTCGGCTCGGCTCGGTCTTCGGCAGGGGGCTCGATGCCAGAAGGGAAAGAGGGGAAGCGAAAGACCAACGCGCGAAGAACATAGCAGAGGCAGCAGCAGACTCAGGAGTGAACCGAGCTGCTGCAGCGCCAGAGGCGGCAAGGCGGCAACACGCAAACACACACACACACACAACCACGCACGCACGCACGCACGCACGCAAAGCACGCACAGCACAGCACAGCACAGCACAGCACAGCACAGCACAGCACAGCACAGCACAGCACAGCACAGCACAGCACAGCACAGCACAGCACAGCACAGCACAGCACAGCACAGCACAGCACAGCACAGCACAGCACAGCACGCACGGACGCACGCACACACAAACAAAACACACACACACACACACACACACATACACACACACCACACACACCATACACACACACACACACACACACACACACACACACACACACACACACACACACACACACACGCTCACGCACACAGAAACACACACACACACACAATTTTATCTCCAGCAACGAGGTGGCAGCACCGTTGCGAGCGCCAAGCCGGGACGCGCTTGGGCGACTTTTTCCACCTGGCATAGCAGATGGGTGGTCTGGATGAGTGAGAGAGCGTGATCCACCGCCGCTTTACTGTGGAAAATTGCCAACCTTTTCCTCCGGAACCCGGGGGTCCCCCCCCCCCCCTCCAAAATCCCCCCCCCCCCCCACTCTGGAAACCACCCCCCTCCCCGGCAAAACCCCCCCCTCCCCTACCCCCCCCCCCCTCCCCTCGAAAACCGAGGGGGGTCACTACTGGTTCGAACCCCCCCCCCCCCTCCGGATCCGGAAAAGGGGGGGGTCACTACGGTTCGAACCCCCCCCCCCTCGAAAACCGGAGGGGGGTCACAACCGGTTCGACCCCCCCCCACGCACCGCCAGCAAACGACTCCCGGTCCCTACCACCGTCCGCATCACATCCCCCACTGTTGTTCCCAGCGCCACTGTCCTCACCACCACTGTTCCCGCTGGTTCCACCACCGTCCCTACTGTCTCCACCAGTGCCCCCACCACTGTCGCACTGTCCCCACTGTCCCCACCACTGTTCCCACCACGGTTCCACTCTCCCCACTGTCTCCACGGCCCCAACCACTGCCCGACTATCCCCACTGTCCCCACTGTCCCACTGACCTCCGCTGTCCCACTGAGCTGTCCCACTGTTCCCACCACTGTCCCCACTGTCCCCACCACTGTACTGTACTCTGTCCCATCGTCCCACCGCCGTCCTCGCCACCGCCTTCACCACTGTCCCCACCACCATTGTACCCTCCACTGTCCCACTGTTTCCACCTCATTCCCACTGTCCCCACACCACTGTCCCCACCACCACCGTCCCCACCACTGTCCACTGTCCCCCCTGTTCCCACCATTGTCCCCACCACTGTCCCCACCACTACCGTCCCCACCACTGTCCCACTGTCCCCACCACTGTCCCGCTGTCCCCTCACCACTGTCCCCACCAACACCGTCCCCACCACTGTCCGCACCCCCACTCGGTTTTCGAGGGGGGGGGGGGGGGGGTTCGAACCAGTAGTGACCCCCCCCGGTTTTCGAGGGGGGGGGGGAAGGGGTTCGAACCGGTAGTGACCCCCCCCCCTTTCATGATGAACTGGGGGGGGAGGGGGGGGAGGGGTCGAACCGGTAGTGAACCCCCCTGGTTTTCCAGAGGGGGGGGGGGGGAAGGAGGGGTTCGAACCGGTAGTGACCCCCGCCGGTTTTCCGCCAGCAGCGGTAGAACACGCTCTTTCGGATGAGTGCAAACGCTTGCCAAAAAGCGCGATAACGCGAATGCGCGTGGAAAACGCCGTGATGGCCGTGCAAATGCAAGAGCTGGCAGGTCACCGCCTGCACAGTGATGCGGAAGGCGGAGGAGGCGTGCGTAAACTTCTGAATCCGCAGCCTGGCTCTAAGGGCGCGAGGCGGAAAGCTGGAGGCGCAGCAGACGAGCGCCCCAGGCCGAGGGCTGCGAGGGCGGAACGCATCGCGCCGCCCGAGCCGACGTGCCCGGCAATCCGCACCGGCAGGTCGGGAACGGTGCCAGAAGGAGTGCGCACCACACACGAGCGGACTTTTTGCATTGGCTGCAACAGCCAGGCGAAGCACACTCAAGTTGGCGTCGTGGCCTCTCGCGCAGCGACGCGGCAGAGAACCAATTGAGGTCAGCAAGAGCCCACAGCCAACAATTTGGAGTCTCGGAACGGTGCGGTGACAAACCGTGCGGTGACCTCGAAATCCCCTAAGACCTCACCGCACGGTCCGTCAACGCACGGTTTTGGGACCTCGAAGGCCCCAGTCGCCCGAAACATCCTCGGAGAAGGACCCGAGTCCCAAAACCGTGCGGTGACCCCGAATCCCCACCGACTCACCACAGGGTGTGGTCATCACCCCGTTTGGGGGCCCCCGAAGCACCTCACGCTCACTCCTGAGCAGCCCCGGGGACACAAACACGCCACTTGCCGTCGCTCGGACGTCCATTTCCCGTGCAATTTTCGGTTTCGTGCGTGTTTTTTTTGCTCGATGATCCAGGATGGTCCTCGATGCTTCTCGCCGAGAAAAAATGCACACGTCCGAGCGATGCCAAGGCCAAAGGGCTGGGGCTCTCGACCACGCCCCCAGGGACCGGTCTCTCGTCGCAGGGTCTCGCTCCCTGCTGGCCCCAGGCCCGAGAGCAAAACCCCACGAGCTCGGACTTGCGAAAGAGCACCTGTCGGAGAGGAGGAGGAGGAGGAGGAGCAGGAGGAGGAGGAGGAGGAGGAGGAGGAGGAGGAGGAGGAGCAGGAGGAGGAGGAGGAGGAGGGAGCAGGAGGGAGGAGTTCGCGTACGCCTGGGAGCCTGAGTCGGCCCATCGGCTTTCCCTCAGAGTCGCCCACTGGCCCCTCCAGGACATCGCCCTGACCAACTCTTCGAGCTGCGTCCAGCCGTGCATGGCCGCGAGGCGCTCCCCCGCACCTACGACAGGCGCCATACTGGCCACTTCCTCGCTCCTCCTCCTTCCAGCGCGGAGGTCTCGGGGGCGAGAGGCCAGACAACTCCCGGGAGGCCTTTGAAACCAAACCGGATCCCAAGCCTTCAAACCTCAACCGCATCCCTCAAACTCATGCGTGGCGCTGGCGGAACTCTCGACAACGTCTTCCAGGGGGGCGCTTCCTCGGTACCGTGGATCGTTCTGACTGCCCCCCCTGCCCCGTCATCCAAGAACGGCTCCCCGAGCCCGAAAACGGGGAGAAGCACAGCAGCTCAAATCGCAAGACACGTTCGAGGTCTGCTCTGGGGTGGGGAACCGACCCTCCAGGCCCGTCCCTGGGGCTCCTTCTGGCTGGCACTCCGAAGCCGACACAGCCCTGGCCATCGTGGAGGCCCCATTTTTTTTACCTAACAGCTTTTGCTGATAGGTTTCTAGTAGGGTCAAAAGAAGGGGGTCTGGGCGGGTGCCGGGGAGGAGAACCGGGAATCGTTTTTCGCCAACAGTCACACACTTCGTGCTCTTCGACCTCCCAGAACTCCACTCCCGGGCCACATTCTGGAGAACCGGGAACAGAGCCGGGCTCGCTTTTCGCGAACAGTCACACACACTTCGTGCTCTTCGACCTCCCAGAACTCCATTCCCGGGCTACATTTTGAGTGCCCGGAGCCAACTGTAGGCCACTTCGTGCTCTTCGAGTTCCGAGAACTCCATTCCCGGGCCACATTTTGGATGCCCGGAGCCAACTGTAGGCCACTTCGTGCTCTTCGATTTCCCAGAACTTCATTCCCGGGCCACATTTTGGATGCCCGGAGCCAGCTGTAGGCCACTTCGTGCTCTTCAAGTTCCCAGAACTCCATTCCTGGGCATGATTTTGAATGCCCGGAGCCAACTGTAGGCCACTTCGTGTTCTTCTAGTTCCCAGAACTCCATTCCTGGGCCACATTTTGAATGCTGAGGCAGGCTGATGCTGCGGCCGAGGCAGGCTGAGGCTGAGGCAGGCTGAGGCTGAGGCTGAGGCGAGGCTGAAGGCTGAGGCTGAGGCTGAGGAGGCTGAGGCTGAGGCTGAGCAGGCTGAGGCAGGCTGAGGCTGAGGCCGAGGCTGAGGCTGAGGCTGAGGCTGAGGCTGAGGCTGAGGCAGGCTGAGGCTGAGGCAGGCTGAGGCTGAGGCTGAGGCTGAGGCTGAGGCAGGCTGAGGCTGAGGCTGTGACTGCGACTGCCGTTGCCGCTGCGACTGTCATCGCGAATGCGACTACGACTGCGAGAACAGCAGAATTCTACAACTGGATTTTCATCTGAATCTTAAGGGGAATGCTTTCAGATATGCTTCTACATATCGCTGTTAGGTTGCTTTGCCGGGATATTTTTTTTTTGAGCTTCCACCTGGAGCGGACCAGAGCCTCCCGCCCTTCGACGATGCCAGAGGCCCAGGTCAGAGATCCAGCCCCAGACCCGTTCGCGGCGGACCCAGGGCGTGGCCACGAGGGCGGCCCAAGAGACCCCCAACCGCCCCCTGCCCTGGCACGCAGCATGCAGCCAGGAGGACCGCGTGGACATGGAACTCCACGCACATCTGACGAGGACTCAAAGACGGTCTGGCGCGACGCATTCGCCGGAGCGCAGGTCGACACGCGCTGAAGCAGCGCGCATCTTGTGCAACCTGGACGCTGTGAACACGGCACGTGCTGCGCCTCGACACGGGCGCATCAGTTCAGCCCAGCGCCCGACACGCCCAAGAAAAAGCGAACCTCGATCCTCGACCCAAAGGGCGAACGTCAGGGGGGACCGGCTCAAGTCAGGAGGGGAAACAGCACACAGACACAATTAATGGGAAACTATGGGAAGCGGGGGGGAAGACGACAACCCAAACAATATTATAAAATACGGGGGTTCCTGGGATTCCAGTGTATTTTTTCGTGCGCACTTGGGCCCCTTGATCAAGGGGAGGGCATCGAAATCGGCTCGAAGATGCAGCACCGACAACAGATCCGCAGCGTGCCCGCGGGCAGCACCTCCGCGCGCTCCCGGGCAGCGCAGGCTGTCGCCCCCTTCGGCGATGAACAGGCGATTGGGGGCCCATGCGTCCCCGCCTGGGCCTACACCCTGCGAAATGCTTAAGCAATCATGGGTTAAGAAATTCATAGTCTCAGAACTTGAATAAAAACCCAACATTTCTAGTCAAATCTTGGGATTCACATTGAAACGTTAAGAATAATCGAGGCTCTGGCCGAAAACTTAGGTTTTCTTAAGCATTGCCTAAGGTGTATCCCAGGAGAGCCCCGAGTCGAATCGATCAGTCGGATCGCCCAAAGCGGGCCTCCTGGGAGGCAGAGCGAGGAGCGCCCCCTGCCAAACGACAGGGGGGCAGACGACAGGGTACCAATACCGCTGCTGCCCGGACCCCTCCAGGGCGCGCCCTGACCAGCATCTCGAGGCGAATCCGGCGGTGGCGACGAGGGCCTCCCAGGAGAAGAAGAAGGAGAAGAAGAAGAAGAAGAAGAAACAAGACCATAAACATAAACTTTGGGCGCTCCGCGCGGATTTCTTGGATCCGCGCTGGACCCCCCTCCCTGGCGCGCGAAGCGCGCCAGGGGCGGCGCTAGAGGCGCCGACGGGGGGGCCCAGCGCGGATCCATGGAATCCGCGCGGAGCGCCAAAAGTTTATGTTCATGGCGTGCTTTCTTCTCCGCAGGAGGGCCCACACAGTCGACAACGGGGCAAGGACAGCGGCATCGGTGATGGGTACCTTAAACTTGTGTTGCCCCCATCGCACTGAAGGACGACATCCCCGAAATAATTTCGAGCACCCACCAAAATATCGGAACGATGTCTAACGAGCATCGCCTCCCAGGCTCCCAGGGCCCGGCACGTGAACACCCTCCAGTTTCGGTACTCTTGGTGCACGAAATTCCTTCTGGTGATCGCGGCTGAAGTGGGTTGGAACATCATAATATTGTACCCGAACATGCGACGCCCTGACTTTTTTCGGGGAGACGTAAGACCCGGGTACGGGGGACTCGGAAATCCCCGACGAGGTCGTCAAAAAAATGACGAGGCCGAGCCTGCATCTTGACGAGGCCTCCCGCTGCAGACATCCCGCGAAACTCCTCCTCGTCAAAATCCGAGGCGCGGTCGTCAAAAAACGATGGCGAACCCGAGTCCCGGCAAACCCGGGTCTTCCGCTCCCCCGATTTTTCAGGACACGCGTCCCTGGAAATCCCCCCGACCCTTTCGCCGGGGACCGGTCTTCTCGTCCCGAGTCGTTTTCCGACGCCCCCGAGGGCCCGGCCCCCCGAGGCCGAAGACAGCCAAGGACCTCCCGTCCTGCGTCGTCGACGACGCAAGCACGCCTGGGTACCTCAAACTGATTAGGGACCGACCGTCCCGGCATTCCTATAGTCCTACCACAACATGTTCTTAGAAGTCAAAAGTGTTCTAAGAACAAAAACAATGTTCTTGAAACATAGCCCCGATACATCAAAACACGACAATCTCAACCAGAAATGTCCTTCTAAGAACATCCCGTGGAAACCACAAAAGGTTCCTAGAACATTGCTTGGCCGGGCTAAAGGCGAGCCAGGATGCTTCGCCACTGCTTGATCACACCCTCCTGTGACGATCCTCGGCCCTCCGACGACGACTCCGCTCGCCTCGGCCCGCCGCGGCGCGGCGCGCACGCGCGGCGCCGCGGCGCCCGCGCGCCGCGCCCAGCCCGCGGGCGCCGCGGTGACCAGCGCCGCGACCGCCGCGTGCAGGCAGGCGGCCGCCGCGAGCAGGGCCGCCTCGGCTCGGCGACTGGCTTTGGAAGTTAAAAAATCATTTCTTGAATTCAACAACTAGTTCTTTGACTTCCAAAACTGGTTTTTGAAATTCACAGACCAGTTTTTAAAACTAAAAAGCTGTTAATCGGAGGTGAGGAGGTGAGATCGAAGTGGAACGGAGAGGCCCCCTACCGGAAAATCGGTTTCGGTTTCGTGTTCGTGCGTGCCGCGCGTGCGGGCGAGGCAAAGCTGCGTGGGCGGGGAAAAATAAGTCTCCTGTAGCTGAGGCGCGGCCGGACGAAAAGTCTCCCTTCCGGCAACCGGTGCCCCGCGGTGTCCCGCTGGTGTCCCGCTCCCGGGCCTGTGGCGCGCGGTGTCCCGCCGGTGTCCCGTCGGTGTCCCGATGGTGATGATGATGATGATGATGATGATGATGATGATGATGATGATGATGGTGATGATGATGATGATGATGTTGACGGTGATGATGATGATGATGATGATGATGATGATGGTGATGGTGGTGATGATGATGGTGTCCCGATGATGATGCTGATGTTGACGATGTTGATGATGATGATGGTGGTGATGATGATGGTGCCCCGATGGTGATGATGATGTTGATGATGATGGTGTTGCTGATGATGATGACGGTGCCCCGATGATGATGATGATGATGAGGATGATGATGATGTTGATGATCCTGATGATATTGATGATGGTCAGATGATTAATTTATGATGATGAAGATGATGATGGTGATGGTGTCCCGATTATGATGATGAGGTTGATGATGATGCTGTTGATGATGATGGTGATGGTGTCCCGATAATGGTGATGATGATGATGCTGCCGATGATGTTGTCCCGATGATGATGATGTTGATGATGAGGACGATGATGCGGTGATGAGGACGATTTTGAGGATGGTGGTCCAATGATGGTGATGCTGATGCTGATGTTGATGATGATGGTGTCCCGATGATGTTGATGATGATGATGATGATGATCATGATGATGGTGGCGATGATGCTGGTGTTCCGATGGTGATAATGATGATGATGATGATGATGCTGATGCTGCTAATGATGACGATGGTGTCCTGGTGATGATGATGTTGATGATGTTGTTCATGATCATGATGATGAGATGATGATGATGCTGATGATGGTGATGTTCCGATGATGATGATGGTGTCCCGATGATGATGATGTTCATGATGATGGCGGCGATGATGGTGTCC